CTGCTGAAGATTCCCTCTCCAGCTTCCTTGTAGGCCTCTTCAGATACTGGAAGGCTGCTGTGCTGTGAGGTCTCCACACAACCTCCTCTTCTCCAAGAGGATCAGGATCCTGAAAATCCTGACAAAATGTACGAGGATTTTCTATCATTTCCCAGCTTTTCAGCAATGGAGGAGTAAGGTGTCACTCCACAAGGGTTGGCAAAGCTGGAGTTACACCTGCTAACAAACACACGGCTGCAACTCACACCCCCTGTCACCTGCATCTGGTCATGGCTGAGAGCATCCTGAGGAAAAACACACCCAGGAAATGGATGCTTCTGTGTCCCCTTGGCTGCACTCAATGACCTCAGAGGTTGTTCCTGACCTCACTGACTCTGTGATTCTAATGTCTCCTGTTTAAAAATGAAGTGAGAAATGCTCTGGGCCCAAGTCCAGGCAGGACAGACCAAGAGTTCAGGTAAATGACAGCAAGCCACAACTATTTTTGAGGGAATTTCTCTGAGAAAACTCTTTTCCCTATTTTCAGCGAGTTCTCAAACACCTCCTGTTCCCTGAGCTTCAGGAACACAAAGCTGTACGAGGTGTTTGCTGAGGTGGTTTCACTCCTCTTGACAAACAGACACTTCCCAAGGTGTATCTTGTCCAAGTTCCTGCAACATGGCCAAACAAGGAACCTCAAAAGAAGAAAGAAACAGTACCAGAACATGGACTGGTGCCAGTAGGGCTTTGCAGCTCCGGTCATGTTTTCTCCAGCCAGTCTCCCGCTCACCACCGCGTGATCGTGGTGCTCCACACGTCTCCGGCCCAGTTTGATGTCGTAGAAGCAGGCAGCATCCCCTGCCTTAAAGAGAATTATCCAGTGAGTACTGAGCATAGACAGTGAAAGCTTCAATTAGCACCCAAACAAAGAAACATTGAGAAGAGAACAAATGGAACCAGGAACTGAGTTTTTCTGACAAACCCCAAACACTGCCACTACCTCATCTCACTCCCCAGGCTACACAACTCCCAGTTTCTCAGCATTTTTCACTGATCTTTGGAAAAATAAACCAGCATGAGGTACGTTTTCTACAGGAATCAAAGTCCCGACGCCCACCAAGGGACGCTTACGCAAGCGAGTGATCCAGGCTATCTTTAGGTTACCCCAACTCCTCTTACACGGCATAAATATTCAAACCGCTCCATGGTTACCACAGCAACGAGGCAGCTGTGGTGCCTGGCCAGGCTCGGGCTCACGCCACAACCACTCTCCTTACTCCTTACTTGCTCTTTTTCACCCCTTTCACCTCATTCAGGTACACCAGCCCCAGTGTCTCCATGTGTCCCAACTGGACCAGCACAGCTGGCAGCCAGAGAACTCTGCCCACACTCACCACCCAGATGTTGGAGCGTGCCTGCAGCTCCGCGTTTACCCGGAACCCCCCGAAGTCCGAGTCCACCTCCAGCCCCGCTGACTTGGCCAATTCCACGTTAGGCTCCAGCCCCACTGCAGCCACAATGTGATCCGTCTCCACCTGATTGGGAATTTGTAATTAGGAACTTAATTCTCCCCATGCCCCTGCAAACTTTTCCCTCTCCCTGCTTTTCCATTTACCTTCCGGCCATCCTTCAGTTTAATCACCAGCCGGTTGCCAGAGACAGAGACAGACTTGACCACGGCATTGGGCAGGACATTGACCCCCTCTGGAAACAAGTACAGGACACCTTACTGTCTGCTCATGGGTGGGCAGATCCCACCTGGTGGTTGCTGCACACAGATGCTAGGTAAGGAACCAAGAGAGAGACACCCTTAGCTTCACTTCACGTGCCAGTACAGTTTTGAGTGAAGCATGAGGAGAATCCATCAAAAAGCTATGAAATAGCTGCTGCAACAATAGTGCAAAGTACATCTCTCATGTGATGACAAGGTCACATCCAATAGAATTCCCCAAAACAGGCATTCAGCAACTAATGACACTCAATTACCTATTGCTGTGTCACATCCAGACCCAGAGGTCTAACAAAGCAGCTTCCAAAAATAGAATGTAACTCAGACCTGTGGGTTCTCAGGCTCTGTAATCCACAGCCCAATACTCCTCCTCCCTCTATCCCACTCCACTTCCCAATGCACAGGCATATCCTGCACTTCATGCAGCAAATAGAAAGAAAAGGTGCCTTGGATCTCATTGACTTTATCAGCTAAATGCTACAGCACCTGGCCTGACCCAGGTGTGTGCACAGGCATAGGGATCATTCCGGGGAGAAGCAGCCACAGGGAATGCCTTCCTGGCATCAACATGTCTATTTGCTTGGCCTTCCCAGAGGAACTACCAAAAGGACAGAGATTAAAGACAGTTCAGTGCTGCCCAAGCTGCCTGAACTGCAACTTCCTCTGTGCTACACCCTGGGCCACCTTGCAGGGCCCAGCCTTCCTGAGGCTCCAGGGACAGAAGACAGCTGGATGTCACCAGAAAGAGCTGCACAGCAGCCACTGGCTCAAACCCGCCACTCTGTAGCTTCACCTCTTCTGACTTTCTCCGTGGTCCAGTTGCTCAGGTATTCAGGCAGGACTTTGCCCATGTTGCCATTCTCCGGAAACAGCTGGATCACCTCCAGGCCTCGGGTACGTGCTGGAAGGGAAGCACAGAACAGCAGGATAAAGAGCAGCAGCACAGAGGTCAGGACACACATGCTTTACTTTACACAAGGAGCATGACAGAGACTTCCAAACTTGGGAGTTATGGCTCCCAGGTTTCCCCTAGGAGCCATAAAGTAACCAGCCACTGTTACACCTGCAAACTCTAAGATAACAGACTTCTAGGGAAAATGCTTGGTATTTTGGAGAAAACCTAGAAAAATATCATAAAGACACTACTCACACATTGACAGTCAGAATCCAGCTGTTCACAACCTCTTTGAAATCACAGAATCATGGAATGCTTTGTGTTGGAAGGGACCTTACAGATCATCCAGTGCCAAATATGAAATCATAGTTTGAGGGTGGCTTTGAGCACAGAGAGCAAATGTGACTTTTTAGAGGGTGGAATGACTTTGCGGCATGCACTGGCCTGCAGAACTCCCATGGAGCCCAACTTACACCCACCTCTGTGGTTAGGGGCTGCTGGGCAGATAGTGAGGGAAGAAACTGGGAAAACATTGGCCATAGAGCCAACAAAACACACGTGTGTTCAGTTTCCTTCAGGCAAACCCCAAAGTCAGTGCAAAAACTGAGCAGCTGGGGAATGAAAAGAAGTTACCGTGTCAGGCTGCTTCCACTCAGTGTCTGTCACCTCTGTCACAGCTGAGGACACACACTCACCTCTTCTTCCCAGGGCACAGGCAAGCTCACTGCCAAGGAAACCACCACCAATAACTGTGATGGACTTGACTTCTCTTGAAATCTTTTCCAGGCTTCGGAAGTCCTCGATCTGAAAGAACATTTATTCCCATTTCAAATCTCCTCAAACAGGAACGGCAGCAGAAGGCATTTGTCTCCAATTTCTCCCTTTGAAATATGAGTGACTCTCCCTAGCTTACAAAGAGAGACATGTTGCTTCTTCCTCCTGTTTGCCTGTTGCACAGAAATACCCTCCTGGATTCCTTATGCCTGTGCAAGCTTTTCTCTGTCTAGTAAATCTCAGATTCATGCATTTTCACCTAAATTTCAAGAGCAACTACAATAAAACTTCTGAACTCAAATGTCCTACAGTACATCCAGTATGACAAGAATGCCACAGCTCACATCATCCATCTCTCCCTTTCAAGATGAGCAGATCACACCTCAAGGCAAGTCCAGCACAGAGCAGAAGATTCCCATATGCCTTCTTATTCCTGATCCATTCCCTGAACCAGACTAAGAAGGTTGCATACCTGTTCCATATCCCACATTTTCAATAAAAGTGGAGTTTGTCAACAAAAAGCAACTCTAGAGCAGAACATCACTGACCACTTTCCATGGCTTTTATTCACTTTGGAAGGTGCAACAGTCATACAGGAGGGAAATGTAAAAAAAAAATACTTAAACCTCCATAATCCCACGCATTATTACAGCTCTCAGGCCTGAGGCAATCAGGTGAGTGGTTGAGTAGACTCTACCCTGGTTACCTGCCTGGGAAAATGAATAAACAGCCCATGGACTCCTGGGCACCAGCTGAGAGAAGCAGGGCCAAGGCAAGCCTGTCCTGGACAGAGTAGAAGTGTTAAAAAGCTGAAAATCGTGGTAGTGGCTCTGACTTATTCAGCCTCACCCTGGGACTGGCAGCACCTGGAGATTACCTTTCGGAACAGGGTCAGCCTTTTCTGTACATCCTTTCCTGCTCTTTCGATGGCAGGCAGGTTCCTTGGTGATCCCCCTAAGGCAAGTGGGAAGAGAATGAGACACCAATGACACCACAGGTATGGGACTGGCTACCCAAACAATGTAAAGCTGTCTTGAATATTGACTGTGCTTTCCAGACTTACAGTGTGTTCTATCCCTGTTGCTGCCTGCGTTTTTAACATTTAAGACCTGTGTGAGCAGTAGGTGACCCAAGACCACACCTTGTCCCGCTGCCAGGAGACAGCCAGGGCCACTTGAACCACAGGAGGCTCCAGAACTGCTGGGGCTGGATGCTGGAGCAGTGTTCTGCCTGAGCAAGAGCTGCTGGTTGCTACTGCCATAGGCAGAATTTGAAGAGGTTGGTCTATAAAGGAGCTCTTCACTGAGTTTCCAAGGAAGTCACCTTTTCTTCCTTCCCAGTCTTCACAGGGCAAAACTCTGAATGTCCCAGAAGAGCTGGATGACGCAAGGCAGGTGATAAACCCAACAGCATGGCTGTCTGCATAACTGTCCTTCACGTGACTGCTCTACCTAGCGTTTGACACTTACTGCAGAAACTTCCTTGTCAGATAGAATCATGGAATGGTTTGGGTTCAAGGGACCTTAAAGACCATCTCATTCCACCTCCTGCCATGGATGCCTGCCATGGGCAGGGACACCTCCCACCAGCCCAGGGTGCTCCAAGCCCCATCCAACCTGGCCTGGAACACTCCCAGGGATGGAACAACCACAGCTTCTCTGGGCAACCTGTGCTAGTGCCTCACCACCCTCACAGAGAAGAATTTCTTCCTGTTATCCCACCTAACCCTGCTCTCTGTCAGTGTGGAGCCATACCCCTTTGTCCTGTCACTCCAGGCCCTTGTCCAAAGTCCCTCTCCAGCTCTCTTGGAGCCCCTTCAGGCACTGGAAGGAGCTCTAGCGTCTCCCCAGGCTGAACACCCCCAGCTCTCTTGGTTAGGTGCTCTAAAGAATTTAAACAGGGGAGGTGTTCTAAAGAATTTACCTCTAGATAAATGCCTAGCACAAGACAAAGAACAAGAGGAAAAACCCAATGACTTACCAGTGGCAATGAGACATTTGTCGTAGGATATCTGGGTCCCATCACTGAGCTTCACTGTGTTCCCTCTAACATCCATATGCACAACCTGCAAGGTTAAACAAGCCAAGCTGGAGCTGCTGTGCACTATATGGCTGTTCAAGTTAACCTGCATGGGCTAATTAAGCAAACTTGGAATTAACTTTCTCCCACCTTTAAGATTAGGGGAAGTGAGAGAGGGGAAGAGAGAAGACTGGAAGTAGGAACTGAGACAACTTCTTTGGGATTCACCTTAGCTCAGGCTGATCTTCCCAGTATCTGAGTCCG